GCCTTCAATGACACTGCCACCTTTCAAATTCCTGCCACATGCTGCTAATACCTGCTCTTAGGTCTATGCTTTTAACCAGACTTCCCCCCCACCCGCCAATGCTTTTTTTTTTTTTTTTTCTGAGACGGAGTCTCACTCTGTCGCCCAGGCTGGAGTGCAGTGGCGCAATCTCCGCTCACTGCAAGCTCCGCCTCCTGGGTTCAGGCTATTCTCCTGCCTCAGCCTCCCGAGTTACTGGGACTACAGGCGCCCGCCAACACGCCCAGCCAATTTTTTGTATTTTTAGAAGAGACGGGGTTTCACCGTGTTAGCCAGGATGGTCTCCATCTCCTGACCTCGTGATCTGCCCGCCTTGGCCTCCCAAAGTGCTGGGATTACAGGCGTGAGCCACCGCGCCCAGCCCCGCCAATGCATTCTTAATATTTATTTGCTTTCATATCCACTCTGAAAGCGTAAAATAAAATTCTCCACCTTTTATAAAAGTGAAATATTTGTAGAATCCTACCCTAAGTATTTACTTCTAAAAACCAGAAATTGCAGCTTCCATTTTAGTGAATCTCTATCAAGTGTTTGTATGGAGCTTGACACTACAAAAATATTTCCTGGAATCCTCACTATAACCTGAAAGGTAGTTACTACTTCCTGCTTATAGAAGGAGAAAGCTAAGGCTCCGATATGTTAAGTAACAGGATTGCACAGCTAGTAGACGGCGAAGTGCAGCTGCACCCTTTCATCTCTGTGCTACAATAGCTTTCCACTGCCCTAATCCACTTTCCTAACTCGCTCCATGCCTGTCATTATGTTAATCCGTATTTGCTTATCCTTTCGATTTTAATCAGCACAGTAGGTTTTATTATTCCCTCACATAGCAATTTCAGGGTCACATGAAAGACACATGAATTTAGGAAATACTAAGCACAAACAGAGAACCAATTGTGTCTTGGTTAGATCAATAATTGTACATGGTTGTAAATGTCATTCCAACTACTATTTGTACACTTGAACCATGGAAACAAAATCTATTTATCGAGTTAATTCTATCATCTAGAATTAATCATACATTTTAATACCGTTTGAGTACCACAATAAAGTTAATACAGAACAGGTACTTTCATTTTTTCTACAAAAAATGGAGAACTGAAACAGTTGTTGCTTTACCTAATTATTGAACCTCTGTTTTGAATGGAGGAAGCGCTTCCTGAGAGAAGCCGCCCCTTTTAGCAGAGGAACAGGAGTTATAATGGAAGCAGGTCCTAGCCACTGAAAGCTTTAAATCCAAAAAGCATCGTTATGCTTTATTTGCCCACAAACACAAAGGCATGCACACAGTTTATATGTTATTTTCAGCTCCATGTCCAAAGAAACTAGAAAAATAAGCATAAACCAAAGAAATGCTGAGGCCAGCATATCAAATGAGAATTAACCACAATTGAGAAAGAATAAATTTCATTTGAAATAGAAAATAAAATATGATCCTATCTTCCTCCTTTTTACTGTCAAACTCTCGAACAATGGCATTCGTTTTCAATAGTTACAAATCCTCAGAAGAAATTTGGCCTAATTTCACAGGTATATATGTTCATATATATACACATGTAGATTTTGGATTTTGTGGATTGTGGATTTTTCTGTGACAAATTAATATTCCATACTGGTTTCTCCCTGCTGCCTGGTATTCGTTGTTGCCAATTCCTTCCAGTCTTGGCCGCCACGTGTTAAGAAATAACAAATAATAGTATATTGTCGGCCGGGCGCGGTGGCTTACGCCTGTAATCCTAGCACTTTGGGAGGCCGAGGCCGGCGGATCACCAGGTCAGTGTATCAAGACCATCCTGGCTAACATGGTGAGACCCCGTCTCTACTAAAAATACAAAATAGCTTGGCGTGGTGGCGGCGCCTGTAGTCCCAGCTACTCAGGAGGCTGAGGCAGGAGAATGGCATGAACCCGGGAGGGGAGCTTGCAGTGAGCTGAGATCATGCCACTGCACTCCAGCCTGGGCGACAGAGCAAGACTCTGTCTCAAAAACAAACAAACAAACAACAACAACAACAAAATAGTATATTGTCAAGTAAAACACAAACACTCTGTAAACCTCTCTGATAAAAAAAAAACATAATCTTATTAAACATTTCAAAGCAAAGAGAAAAAATTTCTTAGGTGATCTACTGTTCTAAAAATATCTGTGCCCCTAATCCCTTATAATAACAAAGATGATCAGAAGTTAATAAAAATTACCCTGACAATGTCTGCATGTATTGAAACATCACACTACTCCATAATATGTAAAATTATTATATGTCAATTATAATTTAAAATTAATTAAATTTTAAATGTTTTACATTAATTATCTTTGCTTACCCCCAAGGCAAAGTGAAGATATGTAGAATTTAGTTCTGACAAACTCACAAAAAATGGGATAAAAATAATCCTTTTTAAAAAATGCACATTTTTACAATAAACAATAAATATTTACTTTCCTAACAAATTCCGATTTCTACCATTTAATAGAAACATTCTGTTCACGTATTAGGCAATGCCTTTTAAAGTTTCAAATGTTTTCATGTGGAACTTATTATAAAATTATTTTCTAGACTTTTATTGGCTATAAAATATATTCATTACTAAACAGATGGGTTTGTTTTTATACTATCCTATTTTTAGATACTTCTGGAAAGACTCTGCATAATTTCTCATGATTGAGGGCTGCCTCTAGAGTAGCTAATCCTGTCTTACTTACCCCAGCACCCTTTTTGCTGGCTATTGGGAATAATGCTGCATGAATTTGGGAGTGCAGATATTTCTTTGAGATACTGATTTCCATTCCTTCAGATATATACCCAGAAATGGAATTGCTGGGTCACATGGTAGTTTTGTTTTTTGATGAACCTTCATACTGTTTATCTCCTTCACTCTTTGTAGTTGTACAGTACTCCATTCTATGGAAGTATACCCATAATTTATTTAATCAATCTCCTGCCGTTGAATAGTTGTATTGTTTCCAGTATTTCTCTCCTAAAAAAATTCTGCAATGAAAAATTTTACATTGTTTCATTCCTTATGTGTATGGATATATCTGTAGTGTAAATTCTCAGAAGTGGAATTACTGGGTCAAAAGGAAAAGTGAATTGATTAATATATTAGACAGCCTGTTTCCCCACAGACTTGCCGATAGAGTATATTTGCTGTATATTCTATAAACAGAAAGTGATTGTAAAAGAATATTTTTTACTTCCATTGTTAGAATACAAAGTATACTTTTTTAATATTACAAATCATTCTTAAAAAGAATGTGATACTAAATAGTTTTGTTTTGTTAAACAGAGTCAGGGTCTATGTTGCCCCAGCTGGTCTCAAACTCCTGGACTCAACTGGTAAGCTGCCTTGGCCTCCCAAAGTGTTGAGATTACAGTCAGGAGTCACCATGCTAGGCCACCAAATTGTTTTTTGTTTTTGGGGTTTTTTTTTTTGAGATGGAATCTCACTCGGTCACCCGAACTGGAGTGCATTGGTGCAATCTTGGCTCACTGCAACCTCCGCCTCCCAGGTTCAAGCGATTCTCCTGCCTCAGCCTCCTGAGTAGCTGGGATTACTAGTTCTTCTGCCTCAGCCTCCCAGCTAATTTTTTGTATTTTTGGTAGAGACAGGGTTTTGCCATTTTAGCCAGGCTGGTCTGAAACTCCTGACCTCAAGTGATCCTTCCACCTTGGACTCCCAGTATGCTGGGATTACAGGCGTGAGCCACCACACCTAGCTGACCAAATTGTTTTTAATTAGAGTGTTTAAATACACTCCTATACCATCATACTTATTAATTTCTTTAAGAAAAAAAATAGTACCAGAAATGATGTAATACTTTATGTGCCTATTCTCTTTATTTGTGTTTTAATTCTACTTAATAAGTATTGTTGCTTACTAGTCCAAGCTCAAAAAGCATGCATAAAATATGGATTTTAGCCACTGATGCTAAACAACTTGAGAAATTTAGGGACTTATACAAATTGTTTTTCAAAAGAAAATTTATTAGAGTATAACCAAATTTTTAAAATATGGTTTTTATGCATGCTTTTTGAGCTTGAACTAGGAAGCAACAATACTTATTAAAAAGAATTAAAACATAAGTAAAGAGAATAGGCACATAAAGTATTACATCATTTCTGGTACTAATTTTTTTCCCAAAGAAATTAAATAAGTATGATGCTATAGGAGTGTATTTAGACACTCTAATTAAAAACAATTTGATCAGCTGGGCACAGTGGCTCATGCCTGTAATCCCAGCACTTCGGGAGGCTGAGGTGGGCAGATTACGAGGTCAGTAGTTTGAGACCATCGTGGCCAACATGGTGAAACCCCATCGCTATTAAAAATACAAAAAATACCTGGGCATGGTGGCAGGCGCCTGTAATCGCAGTTACTCAGGAGGCTGAGGCAGGAGAATTGTTTGAACCTGGGAGGTGGAGGTTGCAGTGAGCTGAGATCGGGCCACTGCACTCCAGCCTGGGCGACAGGGTGAGACTCCGTCTCAAAAACAAAACAAAACAAAACAAAACAAAACAAAAACACATTTTAAAAATTTCGTTATACTATAAGAAATATTATTTTGAAAAACAATTAGTATAAGTCCCTAAATGTCTCAAGTTGTCTAGCATCAGTGACTAAAATAATATGTAAAAATAAAAACAGAAAAAAGAGCAGTAGTCAGTAACTCACCACTTAAACGTACAGCTTAAAATAGAAATTCCTAGGCAATTCAATGGCACATACTTGTGGAAAATGTTACATTCAGCAGTCAGAATTGGCCTCGGATCATCAACACAGTGGTTGTTACCATCATTTATTAACTTGAAGCTTCTCAATTCAAGATGCTATATAAATTGAAGGCATTCGTTTTCTACCCAAAAAATTTGGGTTTAATTCTAGCTCTGCCACTTGCTGCTTGTGTGACCTTAAGCATATTAACCACTCCAAGCCTCAGTATTTCCACCGATAAAATAAGGCTTCTGTGCTCACTTGGCAGCATATATACTAAAATTGGAACGATACAGAGAAGATTAGCTGGTCCCTGCGCAAAGATGATATGCAAATTCGTGAAGCATTCCATATTTTTAACAGACAACCTATAGAATAAGATAAAATTTTTGCAATCTATCCATCTGACAAAGGTCTAATATCCAGAGTCTACAAGGAACTTAAACAAATTTATAAGAAAAAAACAAACAACTCCATTAAAAAGTGGGCAAAGGACATGCATAGACACTTCTCAAAAGAAGACATCCATGCAGCCAACAAACATATGAAAAAAAAGCTCAACATCACTGATCATTAGAGAAACGCAAATCAAAACCACAATGCAATACCATCTCATGCCAGTCAGAATGGTGATTATTAAAAAGACAAGAAACAACAGATACTGGTGAAGTTGTGGAGAAAAAGAAACACTTCTACACTGTTGGTGGGAATGAGATTAGTTCAACTATTGTGGAAGACAGTGTGGTGATTCCCCAAAGATCTACAAACGGAAATACTATTTGCTCTAGCAATCTCATTACTAGGTGTATACCTGAAGGAATAGAAGTCATTCTATTATAAAGATACGTGCACGCATATGTTCATTGCCGTACTATTCACAATAGCAAAGATATGGAATCAACCCAAATGCCTATCAATAGTAGACTGAATAAAGACAATGTGGTGCATATACACCATGGACTACTATGCAGCCATAAAAAGGAATGAGATCATGTCCTTTGCAGGGACGTGGATGGAGCTGGAAGCCGTTATCCTCAGCAGACTAACGCAGGTACAGAAAACCAAACACCGCATGTTCCACAAGTGGAACAAGCTACCCCAAGTGGAAGCTGAACTATGAGAACACATGAACACATAGGGGGAACAACACACACTGAGGATTGTTGGAGTTGGTTGCAGGGGAGGGAGAGCATCAGGAAAAACAGCAAATGGGTACTGGGCTTAATACCTGGGTGATGAGTTGATCTGTGCAGCAAACCACCATGGCAGACGTTTACCTATGTAACAAATGTGCACATCCTGTACACATTTGTTACATCCTGTATGTCAGAACTTAAAATAAAAGTCGATTTAAAAAAATAGGGCTGCCAGGCATCGTGGCATATGCCTGTAGTCCCAGCTACTTGGAAGGCAGAGGCCTGAGGATTACTTGAGCTCAGGGGTTCCAGGCTGTAGTGTGCAATGATTGTAACTGTGAATAGCCACTGTACTCCAACCTGGACAACATAGTGAGACTCCATCTCAGAAAAAAAAAAAAGGCTAATAATAGTAGCTACTCCATAGAATAGCTCTTCTTGGAGAAAATTTAATTGGATAGTACTTATAAAGTACTTATCAGAGTGTGTAGTATATAGCATGCCTTCTACTAATAGTAAGAATAATGAACATTCTTCTGATTTCAAGTTTTTTCCAACATATTATGTTGCATTGGTAATCTTTCATTAAAAAATGTACTTTGCCATTTGACGTGCCTTACACTTGTAATTCCAGCAATTTGGGAGGCCATTGGGGGAGAATCACTTGAAGCTAGGAGTTCAAGACCAGCCTGGGCAAGAAAGTGAGACCCTGTCTCTAAAATAAATAAATAAATAAATAAATAAATAAATAACCAAGTGCAGTGGTGTGTGCCTATAGTCCCAGCTACTTAGGAGGCTGAGGCAGAAGAATCATTTGATTGCCCAGAAGTTTGAGGCTGCAGTGAGCTATGATCATGTGACTGCACTCTAATCTGGGTGATACAGCAAGACCTTGCTGCTTAAAAAAAGGACTTAAATTTTTTTTTTAAACTTTACGCAATCTGATGTGAGAAAGACTGCCTCTGAAGCCAAGGAAATTTGAGTAACAAATATGGATTCTTGGCCCAGTGGTCTAGTACTCTAGATCTCTGGTTTTCAACCTGAGTTCTGTAGAATCCTAAGTTTTTTGTTGTTGTTGGCTTTTTTTGAGACAGAGTCTTGCTCTGTCACCCAGGCTGGAGTGAACTCATGTAATCTCGGCTCACTGCAACCTCTGCCTCCCAGGTTCAAGCAATTCTCCTGTCTCAGCCTCCCGAGTAGCTGGCATTACAGGCGCCCGCCACCACACCTGGCTAATTTTTGTATTTTTAGTAGAGCTGGAGTTTCACCATATTGGCTAGGCTGGTCTTGAACTCCTGACCTCAAGTGATCCGCCTGCCTGGGCCTCCCAAAGTGCTGGAATTACAGGCGTGAGCCACCGTGCCCGGCCCAAATCCTAAGATTCTAAGGAGGTTCTTTAGAGGTTCACAAATATTTGATTAGAATTTTACATTAAAACTATGATTTAGGGCCAGGTCCAGTAGCTCATGCCTGTATTCCCAGCATTTTGGGAGGCTGAGGTGGGCGGATTGCTTGAGGACAGGAGTTCAGGACCAGCTTGGCCAACAGAGCAAAACCACATCTCTACTAAAAATACAAAAAATATTAGCTGGGCAGAATAGTACACACCTGTAATCCCAGCTACTCGGGAGGCTGAGGGACAAGAACTGCTCGAACCTGGGAGGCGGAGGTTGCAATGAGCCGAGATTGCTCCACTGCACTCCAGCCTGGGTGACAGAGCGAGACTCTGTTTCAAAATAAATAAATAAAATATAATAATAATTAAGTAATTAAAAAATAAAAGTATGATTTAGAAAACAAATTGAACTCTCAATATGTTATACAGAAGTATCCCGGAGGTTACCAACAAATTGATTCTTATACTACCAGATAATTCATTTTGTAGAGATCTCAGAATAAAGCTTCCTCTGCCGTCTGTTTAATTGAAGAATATCAAGAAAATCGAGCTATTAAATATCTGCTAGACTGTAAGTGACTTAGAATGTTCCCCACACTTTATAGCCAAAACAAATGCAGATATAAATTATATGCGAAGGCCATCTATAACACTTGATTTCATATTTGGTCTGATTAAAACAGTTTTGTTGTTCTTGCTGATTTACTTGCTAAAAATAAATGCTGTACTTTGGCATTAACTAAATTCATGCTACAAAACAGCTCATCATTAGATATTGTCTGCGAAAAAACAATCTCCTGGTTAAGAGTGTATGGAGCTGGGTGTGGTGGATCACGCTTGTAATCCCAGCACTTTGGGAGGTGGAGGTAGGCAGATCGCCTGAGGTCAGGAGTTCAAGATCAGCCTGGCCAATATGGCAAAACCACACCTCTACTAAAAATATAAAAATTAGTGCGGCGTGGTGGTGGGCACCTATAATCCCAGCTACTGGGGAGGCTGAGGCACGAGAATTGCTTGAACCCAGGGGGCAGAGGTTGCAGTGAGCCAAAATTTTACCATTGTACTCCAGCCTGGCGACAGAGCAAGATTCCATCTCAAAAAAAAAAAAAAAAAAGTATGGAAAGTGCTTCTCAAACAAACTGTAGAAATGTGTTTAGAATAGAAAAAAAAAAAAGTTGATTTTATAGGTACAGATTTTTGATGGAGAAGAAAAAGCAGGCAAATAAATAATAACAGAAAATATGAGCTAATAAGATGGAAAAAATAAGAATTTAATAAAGCTTGCAGTCAGGTGTGGTGCCTCTCATTTGTAATCCCAGCATTTTGGGAAGTGAGGTGGGAGGATCACTTGAGCCTAGGCGTTAGAGGACAACCTGGGCAACATAGTGAGACCCAGTTTCTACAAAAAATATAAAAAATAGCCAGGTGTGGTCGCGTGTGCCTGTAGTCCCAGCTTCTTGGGAGGCTGAGGCAGGAAGATGATTTGAGCCCAGGAATTTGAGGCTGAAATGTGTCATGACTACTTCACTGTACTCCAGCCCAGGTAACAGAGCAAGACATTGTCTCAAAAAATAAAAAAAATAAAAAATAGGTTGGGCATGGTGGCTCAAGCCTGTAATCCCAGCACTTTGGGAGGCTGAGGCGGTGGGTCATTTGAGGTCAGGAGTTCGAGACCAGCCTGGCCAACATGGTGAAACCCTGCTTTTACTAAAAATACAAAAATTAGCCAGGCATGCTGGTGGGCGTCTATAATCCCAGCTACTCGGGAGGCTGAGGCAGAAGAATCACTTGAACCCAGGAGGTGGAGGTTGCAGTGAGCCAAGATCTGCCACTGCACTCCAGTCTGGGCAACAGAGCAAGATGCTGTCTTGAAAATAAATTAAAATAAATAAATAAAATAAGATAAAGCTTGCAGTTAGATCATGTAGAACAAATCTACAATGGAAGATAAATGTGTGCATATATATACACATATGTATGTATATATGTGTGTGTATATATGTACAAGTAAAAAATGTGGAATGGGCCAGGCATGGTGGCTCACACATATAATCGCAACACTTTGGTGGACTGAGGTGGGTGGATCACTTGAGTCCACAAGTTCACAGTCAGCCTGGTCAATGTAGTGAGACCCCATCTCTATCTAAAAGAAAGAAAAGAAAACAGAGATATAAAGGGAGGAAAGAAAGAAAGAAAGAAGGAAAAAAGAAAGAAAAAGAAAAAGAAAGAGAGAAAGAGAAAGAAAGAAAGAAAGAAAGAAAGAAAGAAAGAAAGAAAGAAAGAAAAAGAAAGAGAGAGAGAAAAAGAGCGAGCAAAGGAAGGAAGGAAAGAAGAAAGGAGGGAGGAAGAGAAGAAAGGAAGGGAAGGATAGAAGAAAGGAGGGAGGGAGGAGAGGAAGAAAGGTTGCAGAATTTGATAAAGAAAATACAACATTATACATTCGTTCCTCACGCCTATTTGTAGTTTAGAGAATAAGCAAACAATTTCCCTAGTGGCATGGAAAAGGGAAAGTTTAAATTATCTCTGACTACGGATTTGTGGTTATGATGAGGTACCAAGGGATTTAGAAGTAGGTATTGTTCTTAAAAGGTTAGGCAGGGCCGGGCGCGGTGGTTCAAGCCTGTAATCTCAGCACTTTGGGAGGCTGAGACGGACGGATCACGAGGTCAGGAGATCGAGACCATCCTGGCTAATCCGGTGAAACCCCGTCTCCACTAAAAAAATACAAAAAACTGGCCGGGCGAGGTGGCGGGCGCCTGTAGTCCCAGCTACTCGGGAGGCTGAGGCAGGAGAATGGCGTAAACCCGGGAGGCGGAGCTTGCAGTG